GTTGAGAAAAAATGATGCTAACGCATATTTTTTACTTGAAGAAAACGACGAAAAGTAAGTGCTATGTATAAGGTAAAGTAAATGAATAGATAAATGTGTGAATGCAAGGACAGACGCATAAATGGATCGAATAAGAAAGAAGGAAATATCGCTTCTATCTCACAGCATACACTCAATAGTGCTTAAAAATGAATGATTAGATTCATTTTTGCTACTGTTGGCAAACGAAATGAAATTCACAAATGTGTTGCGATCAAAAGAAACTTTGCAATTTGAATGTAACATTATCGTATGACATACAAAAGCGAATATGATATGCAATGCTGTCTGCATGGCTAACGAGTAAAAAGTAAACGCTACTGGAGAAATAGGCCTGACGTTTAAGGCCTTGCTGGATTGCAAAAGAAAGACAAAGCAAGTACTGCTGCGTTCCTACGTATTATTCTTCATAAGCCTAAGCAAGGTCAGTCGGATACATGGATAAATAGATAGATAGATGGGATAGATGAATGACGGCTGAGAAATAATGTAAAGGCACCAGTTGGCAAAGTCCTTCGTACTAATGCAACTAAACATAACACACATATACACATACACGCAAACAGACACATATATACGTGGAGAGTAAATGTGATTACACGTAGACGTGAGTGAGACGAGAAATGGGAAGGCTGTCAGCATGGAAAAGCAAGCAAAGCACAAGTAAGCAGCAGGCAAGAGCCAGCCGACTTTTCACGACGCCTTTTCTCTGTTCGAGAACGGAATGAACACTCACTCTATTGCTGTTGCTGCTGATGATATCCTTGAGACTCACTGCTCTACACTATACTACACTACACTGCACTATGCTACACTGCACTGCTGTGCAGTTACTGTTAAAAATTTTTAAAATGCAGCAGTAGCAGTAAGAGCAGCAACTTGCCCAACCTGCAAAGTATCTATCGCATTCAAATCAACCATTTGTGTCTCCTTGCCAGTCTAGTAAAACTTTTTCGTCCTCTTTCCTCTTGCAATGTCCATGCAAACAAAAGACAATCTACGAAAGGACGGACACACACCCGCACACATACGCATACACACGCAGACGTATGTACAAACACACACATACATACGCACACATACACACGCACATAAGCAGACGAATTAGTTATATGTTTAATGCGGGATGGATGGATGTTCATAGCAACTCTAAGCAGTTTGAACGACTAACACAGATTAATGCTCATGTTGTGAATGTGTGAGGCTAGTGCGGACGGTTCGAATATATCAGTAAGTTTAATGCAGTCAGAAACTTAAAAATCATTTCCTCTTGCAATTAATCATCACACAAGCGAGCAAATATCACGTATTGCCAAAAATTTCTCGTATTCACGTTTTTTACGAGCACCACACTTTGATGAAAAAAAAGTAAGTACTTACTTTTAAATTTAAATTTCATTTGCTCTTTTCACAGTGTCGCTCTAATTTGGTCAGATGTATGCCAGCGGGTAGTCAAATGAATGATCACTGCAGCGTTAAGAAGTATGCATACAGCAAATGACAAATTTGCACCTTAAACATATAATTAATTCTTTACAATTAAACATCAAATTTGAAAGAAATTAGCAAAATTGAGACAGAAATATGACTAGAAAAAATAGTAAGCAATACAGATTGACCAGTTGTGTTGTTGTGTTTGAAACCTCACGAGAGAATCTGAAGCGATGAGCAGAGAGTTGTTAATAGACAATAAATTGCGACTAATTATAACTGAGTTGACGAGTTATTCATTGCAACTTACCGACACATACACATTGAATGCAATTTATTTTCTTCCAGTGTTGATTTTTATGCATTATGCATTGAGAGAAGTAAGATCAGAAACGCATACAACTTCCACTTTTCGCAAGTAAAACTCATCGAGATAAGTTTAGTTACTTAACAGTCTGCCTTAGATGCCTTTGCACATTCACAGTTAAAATAAATGCACGAGAAATAGACAGATAGATATACGTTTGACTTGAAATCACTTGTGCACGTTTGATTATTTTTTTTTTAAATATATAGCAAATGGATTTATTATCAGTATACAAATTACATACTAATCCACGCATTTAATTAATTCTCTCGGTTATTTAACTGATACCACTTCAGACTAAAACTTAAAGTGATTAGACTGTTTCTTATGTTTCATTCATATTTCACTCAACATTTTTTGCATATTTATTCTAATAATAACCTTAAATGTCATGCAGTTCGTTTTGCATGTTTAGTCACTCTTAAATGCCTGAATGAAAATAACTTGCATTATTTACTGCCTTATTTAAGTACGAATTTACAATTTTAAACAATTAGCTCAGTGCAACTGTTCACCAACTTGCTGGCATTAACTTATTTAATACTATTACTATTAACAGAAAAACCATCAAATCTGTGGTACGCAAAATTTTTCTTCTCAGTCTTTTCAGTTGAAAATTTAATTTAAAAAGAGGGAAACGCACACATATCCAGCAGTTGTTAACCTTGGAATCAATCGCAAAGTAAAGTGCGCATGGGATGAACAGAGAGGAAGAAAAGACTGTTACGAAAATAGTTCGAAACTTAAACAAAGAGTGCTGTGCTGTCTTACGTCAGGATATCAGAAGTCTGAGAAGAAAATGGAGGATGAACGGAGAAAAATCGCATCTAGAATCGTAGTAGAAAACAATGGGAAAACAGATGAATTTTTGAAAAGCTCCGTGAAAAATATAAGTACTCGGCAAGTGTGCCGGAACCTGAACCAGCAGAATGATTACGCTCGAAGTACTCATTCGTGGAATCGAGGTTCTGCAAAGCAGCTAGCCAGGTGAAGTGCTGAAATGTATACGTTATCCAACTGCGTAAGGATGCTGCCACGAGGGCTACTTGCAGATACCCAATTAGGACTTTTTGCCGAGGTTAAAGGTGCAAAAAAGCAGGTACTCTTGAACATGGCGGTTTGCAGGGAGTACCAGTACCAGCTCTATACTACGTGGTAAAAAATGTCATACCACGTAGTATAGAGCTGGAGTTAGTCACATCTATCTGATTAAGTGTATTAAAAAGCTCAACATGCTAGGATCGGCAGGTTTCTGAGAAGCACCACTTTCAGATAGTCGATTACATTCAAAAGCAGTGGAGAAACCATAAGGGAAAAAATGCAGTGAAGAATGCTTCAAGGTGACAGCCTTTCTCCTTTGACGTTCGTTTCAAGCATGGACCCATTGAGCCGTAAACACGATATCAGATACCCAAAAATGGAGGTTCCCACCGATCAAGGAATGTAAGTGTAACGGACCATTTGTTATTTGTGGATGATCTGCTGCTACCGACGAGGATGTCATGGAAGCTATGGCCGGAGAAGTCCAAAGGGTCTTTGAGATAGTAGGGTTAGAGGTGAATTTAGCAAAGTCAGCCGTTAATACTGAGGTATTGACGGCTGACTTTGTTAAATGAGGTATGCGCTGATAAGGCAGTACTGTTCGAAGGAGCTTAAGGGTATAAAAAAATACCTTGAATAATGAAGAAAGGACTAGTGCTCAGATCCGAGGAAGCTTACTGTAAAATGCGAGCAGAATTTTTTATGAGAATTGACCGACTAGCCAAAACTGCACTAAAGGCAAGAACTTTATCAAGGCAATGAGTACGCCATAGGATTAATAAACTATTATACTGAGGTGCTCAAACTGGAACCAGAAGACTTCTGAGCGATTGAGCATGATATCAAACAGTTACTAACTAAATACGGGATTCACATCCAACCTGCATGTTTGGAGAGACTGTACTTGCTATGAGACGAGCTAGAACTGGATTTCATATTGTTGCACAGAGGAGTGAGCTTTTACTTCACGTCGTATACCAGGATATCCGGTCGATCCACTTTTATTCTAACTGCAGTTCTTACTCGCGTATCGACTGTGATTTCAACGTTCTCATTAGTGACGATTTCTTGCACGGAGTAGCTCCGCATGCGTGGAAATGCTTTTATACCACAGTTTTGCAGAGTTCTAAATGGATACATTGCAGAACTTCATTGTGTCTTCTAGTATAGTCATGATATAACATTTTATTGCAGTGTGTTGCTAGATGGTCCACCGTCTTCACACGTTGCCTACAATGTGGGGTACATACCTTTCTCAACTCCAAACATATTTCTGCCTTGGAGATGACAGCATCGCGCTTCATCCTGTGGGGTATTCGAATTGTAGCCAATTGATGAATCAGTAAACGGTTGAGGAAAAACACTATACTCATTTTCGAGTGACTATATAAATTTTAAATAAGTACCCTTTATGCAATATTTATGTAAAACACAGCGTGCGATTTTCATATGATTAAATAATAGTAATTAAAAGTAGAATGTGCTGGATGCATATTTTTCATTTGGACCCAATCATACAATGCTTAAAAGTAGACCAACGAAACGACTGAGGAGTTCTGGTTTGATAAAAACATAAAGGTCTATTGTTTTAAACATTGTGTATTCATTTTAATAGTGTTTCAGTGTGGTAGCAATCCCTTATATATTTTAATTTTATTGTTTCAGTAAATAAAGAAATGAATAAAATGTTGACGTTTTTTAGTATTTCTTTTTTATTTCTTTAGAGTTGATAATGCCAAAATATGTAAAGCAACAAGAAAATGAATATATGTATAAGGTTCCAATTTTGGTTTTGTTATATGTTACAGTTGTTGATTATATAATTTGATGTCATTAACCGACAGTCTCACTAGTTTAATAAAATCCAACAGTATTAAGGCATTTTGCTCGTAGGTACTCACAAACGAAACAATTAGCTTTAACGCAGAAGTTTTGTCACTCTTGCAATATCCTAACTGCGCTAAACACGTACATTGTAATTAGTTAACTGACACATAATATTCGAATATCAAAAATGTTTTGCGCTGTTATGAAATTTCTCGTTTCTTCTAATTGATTTCTTCCTCTTCCTGTTCTATTCGAGATATTCTTTCAGTGGGTAGGTTTGTGAGTGATTTGCAGTATGTCCGGTAATGGATCCACTCTTCAGGTTAGACATTTATTTTATGAGTTTTCATTTGTTATATTCTTTTTTCAGATTCTTGTGTGTGCTTTATTAGCTTTCAATAAAAAAGGCCAAAAGTACGTTTTTTTGCCAACTTTTTACCTTTTAGAAAGCGATTGAATTGGTAACAAAGGCGACAGAAGAAGACAAAAAGAAAAACTACCATGAAGCACTGAGATTGTATGAGCATGGAATCGATTATTTTCTTCATGCTATTAAATGTTAGTCATTGTATCATTTTGTCTATAGGTAAAATAAGACATCAACTTCCACTTTCAAAAAATTAGTTTTTGTATTGTTCTGAAAAATTTTTTAACCCATTATTGAAGGTCTAAAATTACTTTTACTGTGTCTATTTTAAGTCTTATCAAAAGTTTTTAGATGAAGCACAAAGCGAAAAGCAAAAAGATACGATTCGGCAGCGTTGTGCGTCATATTTGGATCGAGCTGAGAAAGTTAAAGAATACTTGAAGGTAATATGAGATTTTAATATTTACAGACTTAAATCAGCATAACTTTTTGTTCCGTATTATTGAAAGATTTTCAAAAAATATGTTTTTTCCAGAACAAGTCTTTTGAATGTAAATTAATTCAAAAATGACATTTTAATTGTTTGAAACAGTTCTGAAAATATTTTATACAGATCTGAAGATCAGTGGGTGTTGTTGGAAATAATTCTGACTTCTAGATTGATGTCATTTAGTTTTATCGGCAGAAATGCAAGAGAAAGTAATTCAGTGCAAATATAATTAAAATCTGAATATTCACCAAAAAAATCCGCCTATATTAATAATGCGGATGCTCATACATATTTTTTAGTAATTTCAAGTTCTCGTAAAGTTTAATACAGCGTTTTCATCGCTAAGACATTACATTTTTGCTTTGCTCTTGCACTCGATGAACTCGTTCGAATCTTCAATAGTTTCATATTTTAATATATGTTAATCTGCTTATTTTCCTTAAGTTTTTCATTTACTGCAGTAGAAGTATACGTAAATGCTTAGATTACACTATAAAAATTGTTATAAATGTATGGGTGTCCCACAAGTTACTTCTTATAGTCTGGCGCTGATAGAAAGAAAGCAGTGAAAGATGATGGTTCAGGCGCAAAAGGTTCAGATTCAGACTCTGAAAAAGACAATGAAAACAAAAAGTTACAAGAAAGATTATCCGGTGCTATTATTATGGAAAAGCCTAATGTAAGTTGGGATGATATTGCCGGTCTTGAAGGAGCCAAAGAAGCTTTGAAGGAAGCGGTTATATTACCCATCAAATTTCCTCAGTTATTCACAGGTTTGTGCTTTTATTAAGCCAAAAAATTTCATTCGTTTCTTATTGGAATTGAGAAGTTATTTAAAAGATTGGAATATAAACTGTTTCTACAAGCATGATTTACATCTCAAAAATAACTTTGTACGAACCTTTATAAATTCTTTAATATAGTCAGTTATTCCTAACTCCCATCTCACTATTTTTATAGCACTGTAATCTTTTTTGCTTTTTCATTTCGGATTTTTCTAAACAGTTAATTTAGAAGTGAATTTTAAGAAATTTTATCGTCATTTTCAAAATATAAATTGATTTTAATCCATGAAATATGCACAGTGGCATATTATGACGCTTAGTATTTCATATTAATTTCTAGTCGAAGATGTATTGACTCTTACCTATTAAATTCCGTTCGAATCTGGAATTCAATAGCTAATTATCGTTCAACTGATTAGGAAATTAATTAGAACGATTTTTGTCGTAAAACTTTGATACTAGCTAAGTTTAAAGTTGAGTGAAAGTAAACAGTTTATTTGATTCATTTCTGTATAAATTCGGAAAATTAAAGTTGGGCATTAAACAATGAAGTCATAGATGTTGGGTGAGAGGATGAGCGTTAGGAGCTTTGTGCGCTCTTGCTGTTAGTACCATGTCTTCTTCTTTCATCAAAAACAAAGATGCACCGTAAAGAGCTGGAGATACAAAACATTGCATGAATGCTAGAAAAAGCATTACAACAGGAATTATTGAGTCTGGTTTTCTCCAGTCTTTCACTATTGTAGTCGCGTAGAATGGAAGCTGGTAAAATGGGCTGAAAGAAGTTGCCTACTAAAATTACTAATTCTTTAGTTGCATAAGTTTTTTGCAATGTTATTCCGGTTGGAAATTTCACAAAAGATGGTTTTATTATGTTAGATTTCCTGTCGCTTAAAGAACTTTTGCATCTATTTATAATAATCAATTTTAATTATGATTTAAAAAGATAAAATTTATTCATCAGGCTGTATTAAATTTATGATACTTATGGTTTTGAAGTTGAAATATTTTCCTAAATATTAATATATGTATACTAACCTCAATAGAAATGAATACACCAGAAAACGACTTTTGTATAAGCCTATACTTTGGAATACAATCGGACTGTGATAAAGGATGCCAAGGACACGAATATAAGCATAAGAAGCAAGTAATGCAGGTATGAATACTCCCAGAATTAGAAGATATGTCAAAAACTTGAGGCCACTGTCACTGAAATGAATTGAAAACTTTTACAGATTTTTAATGATAAAATTTGTCGGATTGAGGTGAGATAAACTACACATTCCGTCTTTTAAGTCAAAAAGTCAATTGAACCTGTCGCCCCATACGCAGTGTCTAAATGAAGGATCATAAATTATAATATGTCCATTAGTGATCGTTGGTAATGCCAGACCAAACGCCAGAAGCCAGGATAGGGCGCACAACATATTGGGTGGTAAACCAAACAGTTGCTCGTAGTGTATTCTTGCAAACGTTAGCAAATGTACCCCAGCTATGCAAAGTGCCATGAAATGTATTACAGTCCATACAGCGCACGTTACTAGAGCCTGAAACATTTTTTATCTGATTTTACTTTTCATATCAAGCAACGTATGTCGAGCAGTAGTCCGCATTGCTAGCTTGCATTAATCTCGCACTGAAAGACACGTAGTGTTTGTATTCATCAACAAAAAATAAAATCTCATAATTGACTGCACGGTCAGCTTAGATACACCTTTTTAGTGTGACCTCGTTGACAGTTTCAACTTATACTTCTTGCCTTTAGTTGAGTAGATGTTTATAAGATAATCTTTAGAAGTCAGATGTTTGAAGTTTCCTGCGCAATTAATGTTGCATAATCATAATGTAAAATGTCGTAAAGTAATTCACCTGCACTCTGCACATAACGTTGTTTTCACTCCAAATATTCACTCCGGTCCAGACGTTATATATAAACATGGGCAGAAGAAGACATAGAGCAACAGCATTTGTGACACATAAATGAGCGATAAAATGCGATGAAATAAAGTTGCGATATAATCTGTTATAAATAATGTAGATAAGTAGTGTACAGTTAGCCAAGAGAGCCAGTAAATTAATGCAGCCAAATGTTATAGCGAGTAGAGGTGCCGGTTCAACTGCTTCGTTCATCAGAAGTACTGAATTTGAATGATTGAATCGGATTTGTGCCAACTCCATCCTTGATTACTTTTTCAGTCTTGTATGAATTCTGGGAATATTACGTTACCACTTTTGAGAAGTAAACTTAGTAGGGTTTAATTTATTTTCTCACATTCGATAGTTGTGTTCTGTCTGAAAAATTAGTTTGTGTGGAGCATTATTATTGAAGGTTTGGACGAAAAATGAGCTAACGTAAGTTCTAATTCATCAAGTCTAATAAATTTTGATGTTTTTATGATTTAGTTCCTGTCAGTTCATGGTACTTATAATAAAGATAAAGGAGCATTTGAATGCATTTCCAGACAGGTTAGTGAATATATATATATATGCAGAAGCAAAACATCTTTTATGTTTCTGATTGAGTTGGGCCGTGTTCATCGATTTTTCGTAGATATAGATTTAAGGCGTAAGTCAGCAGCCTAAGTTATTGCTGATGGATATGATAGTTTGCTAGAAAGTAACCAATGAAAGAAATGACTGGAAAATACTGTGATTTAGCATTTGATTTGAAGTTATAACATTATTGCAAGGAAAGAAAAGAAAGTGCAAGTATTGTCATGTCTCACAAACTTCAGTTATATTGAGGTTAAAGTCAGCTCACGAGTTTTTCTAGAGCGAATTGCTTCTAGATCAGAGACTTTTAAACAATTCGTTAGTTTTTTATGACATTAGTCTTTTTATCACTAATCTGATAAAAGAGAATTGATGAGTGAGAAACAGTTGCAGGAAGCATGTATATAAGAATATAGGATTTTGCTGGGTTAGTTCTGCGCTTGTTGTAAACTAACGGTGACTTGGACAAATTTGCAAAAGGCGAAGAAAAAAGCACTGAAAATTCATCATTGATGTGATATAAGAAGAGAGTAGATTAATAGATGATGTGTATGGACGTATGCTTCTATCTGTTCTGGTTGGCTGCCCACTCGTTGCTGCATTGAAGTCTGAAGTTCTGTGCTTATGGTAGAGTAATAAGCTGAATAGATTTCTGAGCACAACATAGCAAAGTAGACCATCGATTTCACACTCGTCGTCAGAAAGAAATAACTCTTATACTGCTTTTTGTCTTGCTTGAGAATAGCATAGTCTGGGAATGCAAGTACTGCTCCAGCAATCAATTTATGCTACGAAGTGTGTTGCAGAGATCATTTCAATGAATAACTTCTTGTCCACCTTCTTTCATTCATCCTTCTGAGACTAGAAAAAAATTTTACTGATGTTTGATATCAAGTATGTTTATGCCAGTTTATGCCATTTTGACATTTTTGCCCCCTTGTTATTCAGCTTCATTCTTCATCTTGTTACCACTAGTTTGGGATCTAATATTGTACATCCTCTATTCATTTAGGGAATCGAAAACCATGGCGGGGAATTTTGCTTTTTGGACCACCTGGAACAGGCAAATCATATATTGCCAAAGCAGTTGCTACGGAAGCTAACAATTCTACGTTTTTCTCTATCTCATCTTCGGATTTGATGTCAAAATGGTTAGGCGAATCAGAAAGGTTTAATTTTGTTATTATGTCGAAAAATGATATTGCAGACAAGAATTACACTTCAGAAAGATGCGTTAGAGGTCAAATTTGACATAATTACAGCAATTCTTCCGAAACTTTGAAAATGTTAGTTATCAGAGGTGTTTGAGAGTTGCAGTAAGAAAGAAGAAAATATCAAGCAAAAACGGAGTTGCCGTTAGTCTGAAAATTTCCGGTCTTTTTATTTTTGCAGTGCTGCTGTTAAGACTAGTAAAAACTACTGGTATATCAGTAGAATTTATTGAAATGGTCTAAAGGAATTAGGTTTCTGCGAAATTTTCTAAAATTATTAGAAACTCTGAAGATATTTACATACTTTTTTAATGTAAAAAATCTTTTTTATAAGATGGCTTCGAAGTTATAACTTGCAAGTTTTTAAAATTTCTCTTTTAAAATAGACTTTTTAAAAAGAGATAAAAATAAATTATTTGTGAGTTGTCTTCATATTTCAGACTAGTAAAACAGTTATTTGAAATGGCTCGAGAACATAAACCTTCAATAATTTTTATTGATGAAATTGATTCATTGTGTTCGTCACGTTCTGATACCGAAAGTGAATCTGCTCGGCGTATAAAGACTGAATTTTTGGTTCAGATGCAAGGGGTGGGTAATAGCATGGAAGGCATATTAGTACTTGGTGCTACCAATATTCCCTGGGTACTTGATGCTGCCATTCGACGACGATTTGAGGTTGATTGGGATTTCTATCACAATTTATTGAAAGCTAATTTTCATTTTTGAAAACTATATGCTACATGATGCTAATAACATTAATATGACGCCATGTGCAATGTAGACTTGAATCTCATTTTGTTTGAAAGTGTAGATGTAGCAAATTAATTTTGAAAGATATTGTTAAAGGTGCATGGTTATGTTGAATTCACGAATGGTATTAAATTGAATTTTTTATCTAGAAGCAATATTTTTAGATAATTTGAGCTTATACGGCTTTTATGTTTATTTTTACAGAAACGAATTTACATTCCACTTCCAGAAGCAAATGCTAGAAAAGATATGTTCAGATTGCATGTGGGGAAGAATACATTACATTCATTGACAGAGCAAGATTTTAAGGTTTGTAACAACTTACATATAATTTATTTGCACATTTTTTTACGGAAAAATTTTAAGAATTTGCAAGTTAGAGTTTGATAAGACCGGAAAGTATTATTGCACAGATATTATCAACTTTTCATAGTAAAATCAATTTGAAATAGTTTTGAAATTGGACGTAGTACTTTGTGTTTTTTGTAGATTCTTGCTGAAAAAACAGAGGGTTTCTCTGGATACGACATTTCGATTGTTGTGAGAGAAGCTTTAATGCAACCGATTCGTAAAGTTCAAACTGCGACTCATTTTAAATACGTTTCTGGACCGTCGCCTTCCAATCCAAATATCATTGTGCATGATTTACTGACTCCATGCTCTCCTGGTGACCCAGGTGCTAAAGCAATGTCTTTCATAGATGTACCGGCTGACAAATTAGCTGAACCAGTTCTTTCAATGGTTAGTTTTGTATTCTCGAAATTTCCAAATTTAATCTACTAATAAAGAGTAGTAACAAATGTAAAATACTGGGATTAAATTTTCGGAAATTTTAGTGATGGTTTTACTTAATTATGATCAAATTATTTGAGATCATTTTAGATTTTAGTGATACCTTGTAGCTTAAGTGACATAATAGGGTTTGATTTGTTATAAACACTTTAAATATTGAAAAAATTAAGAGTGATATGTTGCGATCACTAATGAGCACAAAGCCGACAGTAAATAAAGCGGATATGGATAAACTGATGCAGTTCACAAAAGATTTTGGTCAAGAAGGATAGTGTTCTAAAGAACAAGGAGTAAATTTAAAAGTCGAAATGCGTTTAAAGCGTATGCCAAGATTTACTTTGTTGCTCTGTATTGTTTGAAAATATTTTACTCGTGTTCTTAATTGTTTGATTGTATATATAATTCTAATGAATGAAATCATAGGGTCAGAACATTTTAATTTTTGGAAATGAAATAAATCAATTTGAATTTAACCATTAATAAATTTATTCCGGTCGTCGTAAGTCATCGCATTTTCAGATATCGATTCATGTTCCTTTGAAGGCGCGATACTTAATCGCTAGTAGCTATAAATTAGGGGAATTTCATTCTTATTCGACTGCATAAAATATCTCCTTTTCATTTGTATCAAAACAAGATTTTAAACTGAAGATTATGCAGAGTAAAATGCCACTAAGTTTTCCATTCATTATATAAATGAATGCAGAATTCGAATTCACAATATTGAGATAGAGGCATAAGTTTCCACGCGTTACGTCCCTGTTTTGCTTGCAGCTAGGTTATGTCTTGCCAAAATTGCTATGAACATTAGTGATGGTGAAATGAAATAGAAAGTAACTGAATTCAGGTGAATCTCGCTCTTGCAAACGTGTAAATTTTGGAAGATTCGATATTGATGTATATGATGGTTGTTTGCTAAAGCTGTTCACCAGTTCATTCATTAATAGTGTTAGCTCGTATATTTTGCATGGTCATTGTGAATATAATGATGTTAGTCATTTTTCCGTGCAAATTATTGCATGTTTTTTTTTGTCTCTCCATTGATAAGTTATCAGTGTAAGTTGCCTACTTTTAAAGACTGGATTTCATAAGCTGAGGCAAATTAAAAATTTCAAGTCTGATCTCAAGCAATGTCGTGATTGATTCCCATGCAAGTTGCAAAAAGGAGTCTGAAGTTCGTGAAGGTATTTGTCAACTGAGTTGCAGTCCGTGATTGAAGTTTTGTGCAATTGATTTCCGGCGATGCTATGCAGGCAGTTAATTTACTCTCTTGGTTTTGCAGTATTGTACGAAGCACTTATACATATTAGCTATTGGTTAGCAGATAGCTCCCAGTGTTCAATTTTTTAAGCTGCTGCTTCATATTATTCGTAGATGAAAGTTAATTGTAGGTTTTGACTATAAAATGATTCTGTCATTCGCAAGATATCAATTTGGAAAAGACTGCATGGTGAGAAAAGGTCTGAATTTTAATTAGATGTTAATATTTCAGCTAATGATTCTGCTTGCTAACATGAGAGTTTGGAGTAGACTGCTTTCAGAAAATGTAGTATTATTTATGTTTCACTTGTTATTTCAGTAGCTGGCTTGTGGACTTATGTTTTCAATATATTCATTTCACGTTTTAAGCAACTGCATGAAGAATTTCGTGGCGCCTTAGGAGTTAACGCGAAGAAATTTTGCTACAAAGTTAATCATGATTACATTCAGTACTGGTTATTTCTTTCAATTTCTGTAGCACAGAAATAGAATTTGGAAAAGGAACTGTATTCTTACTTAGCAACAAACATTTCCATCAATTGATGAATGTTTAATCACTCAACTGAAGTTGACTACTTTGGTAATTAGATACCAGATAGCAATAATGATAAGTTTATTTAATTAAAAATATTTAAAAATCTCGTATGAGCAGAAATGAAAGTGCCTCTTTGTAATAATGAAGAAACTTTATCCTATCAGTAACAATGCAGTGATTTGTTATGAGAATAATTCTTCTATGTTGGCAAGGCTATAACATGTTTTCAGTGTCGAATTCGTGCACTGCATTTAATATTCAAATGAAATTAACTATTGACCTCAATCTGTTAACAGTCCATCGGTAAGTAAAGACTACTGGTTTGCAGTGGAGTGATTATTTCTAGTTTTACGCCATAGCAGTGAAGGAATGAATGCACTGCTCACTGGTGGCATCTATTTGAAGAACAAAAGAACAGAAAAAAAGTAAACACTAATTATTTTAAAAGTTTTTCTGTAAGTACAATAAATAATTAAAGTTATTTAAAAAAACAATATTGTTTCTAATAACCTTTTTACTTTTAATTGAAATAAAGCATTTTTGTAAGGCAATACCGTGTCAATGGAATGAAATGAAGCATTTCTGTGTGGCAGTACTGTGCAATGGAATGAAATAGAGCATTTTTGTATTATTACTGGGAAATTTTCAACAGTCAAGCATAGAAAATAAATATTAGAGTAATAAAAAAAATTGTACCAATAATACAAAAGAAATGTAGTAAAATTGAGAGAATATAACAATAAATTTTATTATATTTACTTAAAAATATATAAATTATTTCAATCCCATGTGATATAATTGTACTTGCAGTACTATTTATATGCTATAATTTTTGTTGTACAATATCTGTTCAATTTCCGTATTGTACTGCATTAATGGAAGATTAAGCTGTGTGATGACTATTATTGCTACTATCATCACTGCTATCATTAGTATAATGTATAATGATTGTCAGTGTGTGTTAAGAATTGTGCACTAAGTATAATATCAGTAAATCAACTTTATCCTATCAGTAACAATGCTATGATTTGTTACGAACAGTTCTTGCCTGATTTTTAGTTCATATATCAATCAAATTGATTGTTTCATTTCCGAAAAATTATTTAATTCATTACTGAAATATTTCCTGCCAAAAATGGTGTCATTTTCCCTCCAAAAATCAAGGTTAGATTAATACTCATTTCACTACTTATTACTATTTGATCACTTAATATGTTTGTATATTGAGAGTATGTATGTAAATACGGATGGATGTGTATTATACATGACACATACACACACACACATATATATATATGAAACGATGGCAAAAGAAGTGCCAGTTTTTGATTTCTGAAAAAATTCTCGCAAACAAAACATTTTATTGGCATTTCAGAAGCTAACGTAAATATTAAATATATTTGCTAAAGTGCTCAAAGCGAGAAGATACGCATCATTTGACGAATAGCAAATAATACTTTTCAGTCATTTCTTAATCAGAAATTTCTATTTTCGACACAAATTTCTTTTCAACTGAACTAATTGCTATATGAAAATTTTGATTACAATAAGTCAGTTTCAGAATTCTTCGAGAATTCCAGAATTCTTTTTGAAATTACAAATTTTCAAAATTTGCTTAGATAAAAATTTCTGCTAGTAATTTCTTACATGCGCACTACATTATTCATATTAAATGAAGTCAATAAAATCATAAGTAATAAGCATTTCATCTAACTAACCTCCACTCCAGCATTTTCTTCTTTTATTTGCATCAAGTTTACTTTACCCTTTAACCTTTATTCCAGTCGAAAATTATTTCTACTTTTCACGTGTTCCTTACGTCTGTTTAAATCATGCTAGCGAAGGTCACATCACTATGCGATGATTAAAGCTATAATTGTATCAAACACTGCACAAATTGCATCTTATAAAATCAATTTGCTTTTCAGCAGTGCTGTTTCGCTCATTCATTTTGCAAATTGTTCCATTTGCATCAATTTTTTTTCGCACATTTCCGCACAGATTTTCAATAAATTAAAAGCAAACACTGCCATGCAATGCCTAATTTGATTGCATACCATAGCAGTGCCACTAATTAAGTTATATATTTGTATATGTATATTATTTATAGTAGAATAGTACTGTACAACAAGACTAGTTCGGGTCTTGTCTACAGTGTTATTATTTTACAGTATGAAATGTACAGTAAAGAACAGTAATAATGCATTATAAGATTAGCATTAGCCCATATTGTAGTCATAATTCACGTAATAATTGATTTCAAAAATTCTTTCAAGAATACAAGATTTGATATAATAAATATTATTAAGCACAGAGCAAGGGAGAATAGAATTTAATCCAACAAACAACGTAAATGGAGATGGGTAGCATTCATCTGTGCATCTATCCATTACTGCTATATATTGATGCAAGGGAAGGAAAAGAAAAAGAGATGGGACGTTTTGTGGGATAAGTTATTGATCGACTAGATAGATTATGATTAGCATTAAGTAGTAATCATAACACAACATTGTTTGACCTTTAGCATTAAGCGAAGTGCATTTTCCACTTCTAATTATGACTTTTTGTTTTTCTGTGCTACTTTGTGTGGTAATGAAGCTATTCAAGCAGTATAGTGAAAGAAATACGTCTGATGTGCTTTATATGCATATGGCATCACAACAACTTTTAATGAGAACATTTTTCTTCCAACTTTTTTTTCTTTTTTTACCAAAAATTTGCGACGTAGAAAAAAAGTTATGCTTGAACAAATTCACGTGACTAATATTCTTATGTGAGTGTACGTGACCTAGTAGTTGAGTTGCTGCGCTGCAGTGTCAGAGGAGCGGTTGCATCATTATCATGCAAGTAACTGTACTGCAATGGATGATGATGTCTTTATTTTGCTCTTTTCTCTTTCGGTCACACTTATTTGTTGTTTCTGTGTGAATTTCACACTCGCAACTATTATGAATTTATTTTATTTTGTGTGAAATGGCATTTAAAATATTCATTTTGCGTAATTAAAGTTGTAAATTTTATATTTTTGTTTTTTTTCCTTTTCACACGTAAAACACGACCCTTTTTCTCTATTGTGCACTTTTTATGGTCAGAATTTCAGCGTAAAAAGTGAATAGTTTCATTTTATAATAATTGGGAGAAATTATTGTTTTACAAACAAGAAATGGATTTTTCTGATACTAATGATTCAAACAAAATTCGACTTAAGCGACAAGTTTCACTTTTCAATGGCTGCGCAATTATTATTGGTGTTATTGTTGGTTCCGGTATATTTGTTAGTCCAAAAGGTTCTCAAATTTCAAATTATTTCTAACTTAACATTTAAATTTAAACTTTTTCACATAGCAAGTAATGTATTTGAAATTCATACTTTAATTGATAAAATATAAAATTTAAATTATTCATAGCATTATCTTATCAACTGATTAATTTTCAAAACTTTTAATAAATTATTAATGTATAAATTCTTTTGAGGTGTGTTAATGCACTCAGGAAGTATTGGCTTATCACTGATAATATGGATTCTGTCAGGAGTTTTTGCCACTGTGGGTTCTTTTCTTTACGCTGAACTTGGTACAACAATTCCTAAAAGTGGTGGAGATTATGCATATATCAACGAGGTTAGAATAAGGAAGTGCTAAAATTTGAATAATTATTTTCGCTTACTTAATATTGTTTATGAATAATTTTTAAGAGCAGAATATTTCAAAAATGAAATTTGTGTAATTGTTTTCTTAAATATTAACTAAGAAGGATTCATAGATGATAAAATGTAACTTCAGCTTATTTTTCATCTATGAAAACTGAAATTTTGGCAGTGTCGAGAGTTAAGTTTTTTCTGTCTCTTTTCATATACAATTTTACACTCGTAATTTATTTCTTATGAATACTGTTGATATCTGAATACAGAACACTAATGGTTCTTGTTAGTTCTGAAGAATAAGGACTTTGCATCAAAATATTAAAAATTTTTGTAAATTAATATTGTAGGCATTTGGATCTCTTCCAGCATTTTTATACCTCTGGGCAGCGCTAATAATCATCATTCCTACATCGAACGCAATTATGGCATTAACATTCGCCAAATATACACTTCAGCCGTTCTTCGGCACTTGTGATGCGCCTGATTCTGCTGTAAGATTATTAGCAGCTTGCATGATTTGTATGTTTTACTTTTCCAAACGTAATTCTCTCTTGGTTTTCTTCTATTTTTAGATATAACTCACTTTCTTGTTTGATTATTATCATTTTCGTTCTTTTTCAAGTAATAGCATGTTAGCGAGATTATTCAGCTTCTTTTTATTGTTTTTCTGTAGAGAAAAGCAGGTTAGCTTAAAAAGTTGTTCCTGAATGTATTATAAAAGATAATTTCAAAATAATAGATATTTAGTCGAAGGAAAATTTTAAATAGCAGAGACATCACTATTGAACTTATTACTTCAGGTCTTATAACTTTCATCAATTGCTTCAGTGTGAAATTGGCGATGAAATTACAGAATATTTTTTCTGTCGCCAAAATAATTGCTCTGTGCATCATTATCGGAGCTGGCATTTTTTGGATGTTTTCAGGTATAAAATTGTTGTATATTTTATAAGAGATCTAACGTAATAATCAAAATATGGAAATTTTTATAAACTAATTATGATCCTAAGTAAATAAAGTTGTTTGCATACTTTCGTACGAAGATACAGACATTCACTATCAACTTATTGTTTTATTGAATTCTCTGATTCCAGTCATCTGCTGGTTAAGGATTTTTTTGTTTGTTTCAGGTAATATTGAGCATTTAGAACCATCGCAGTTATTCGAGGGATCAGAATTCAATCCAAGTCGTATCGCTTTGGCTTTCTATTCTGGTGTATTTTCATACAGTGGATGGTAATGATTTTTATTTTGAAAAGATATAATTAGTGCAGTATATTACTTTCAAATTTACATTTTTTTAATGTGCAGTACATTTTTATTATCAAACTTATTTGCAATAATATGCTTACAGAAGTTTTGAGTGCACTTTCTGTCGTGATTGCTTCAATATTTTGATGAATCTTAAAATAATTATTTTTAAGGAATTCGCTAAATTTTGTAACAGAAGAATTGATAAATCCTTACAAGTTAGTTTGCTTTATTATTTTATCTTGCTTGTTGAGCAAATGAATAGTCCATGAATAATTTTTGACTTGTGTGGTGATCAAATATAATAATTTACAATTGAAGATACAGGATTAGTTTATTTGTGATTCATTAACTTTTCAGAAACTTGCCCCGAGCTATTTTGATCTCAATGTTTATGATAACAACTATATATGTATTGGTGAATATGGCGTACTTTACTGCTTTATCTGTGCCTGAATTCTTAGATTCCCCGGCAGTTGCAGTTACTTTTGCGGAAATAGTCATGAAACGATTTGCAATGGCAATGCCTGTGTTTGTTGCAGTTTCATGTATTGGTGGTCTGAACAGCGTAATATTTTCTACAAGTCGAATGTTTTTTGTTGGTGCCAGGTTAGCATTATTTCTGAAATCTTCATTTTTGACAGCACATTTGAAGTATATATTGATGCAGTATTATTTAAAACAAAAACTGCAATTCTTTTAATAACAAAACTAAAAATTACATTCATATATCCTTTCGGAAATGAAGCAAAAATGTTTTTGAAATTTTTGATTAGATAAAACTTTTCAGAGATGGCCGATTACCAGAACTAATTTCTATGATTTCTGTCAAGTATTTGACACCTTTACCTTCATTACTTATTCTCGGCATATTGTCGCTAGTGATGCTGATTACTTCAGATGTTTATGCTTTAATCAGTTACTTAACTTTCACTGAAACACTTGTTATAGCGTTTGCCGTGGCAGGTCTAATAAAATTGCGATTTACCGATCCTACTCTTCATCGGCCTATCAAAGTAAACAGTAATTACTTATTTGCTGAAAAAATAGGACATTCTGATGAGTAATATTCGCATCGCATTTAAATATCCAACCAATGATGTAATTTTTAGAGTAATTGAAGAATATTTCACGTCTTTTATAATAAATTTTTATATCAGTGTTATTCTTCTGCTAATTTACTACAATTTTTTTTGGAAATCTTTTTGTTTAGTGTGGATTGACATTTTGTTGAATTTTGAAATTTCGAAATTCAGCGTGTTCAAAAATTCAGAATTATATTAAATATTACAGCTATTTTGTTCTATCAAAATATGCAAAGTTTCATTCGCGGAATTTTCAGTATAATATACTATTCCCAGTGGTATTTTTGGTAATATGCTTGGCCTTACTACTTCTTCCATTATTTATTGAAGCTATGGAAATAATAATTGGAATGTTGATCGTTCTCAGTGGAGTTCCATTTTATTTTCTCTTCGTGTTCTGGACCAATAAACCAGCTTGCATGTACAGACCTTGGAGTAAGTAAATCCTTTAACTATACACATTTACTTTAATTTTCATTAAATTTAAAAAACATTTGCTATTTTCAGTCTGTTTGGTTTCTTTAGATGCAAATAGATTTCGTTTAGACTGTTTATTTCTATAGAGCTCTGTTTTGTTTTTCTTAACATATTTCTGTAGCAGACAAAATTACTCCTATATTCATGAAGATCAACCAAATCACGTAAAAATTAATTATTAAATAATCGTATAAAATGATGAGGTGGCTGTGTATTCAAAATGTGAGGTGGCTGTGTATTCAAAAAACCAGCAGATACAGTGCATTCATCTTTTTTCTTTCAGCTGAAATAATTATTTTTAGTTACAGTTTTTTCTAAGCCAGTGCCAAAAATTGAAAAGGATAAGTTGTTGGTGTGAATTACATTGTAGATAAAAAGTTAGCATTAATAAAAATATTTGGTTATTTAATCTTATTAGTACATTTTATGATTGTAATGTATTTCAGACTGAGTATTTTAATGATATTTTTCCAGTTTGTGCAACGAATGGCATTCAGAAGTTGTTGTATTGCATTCCAGAAGAAGAACATGCAGATTGATAGTAATCCACGTCTAGGCTCTGCCATTCTTTTTCACGTTCTTACTCACTTTCTGCCTCAAAATAATCCTCACTAGCAGTTCATTGATACAAAAACATTTCTATTCAATTCTGTGCTTTATTGAGTTGTGTTTTGAGTTTATTCAATCTAAAGAAGTTTTGCTCTACTCTTAATTCTATTCATTACACTGCTTCTTTTTATGATAACATAAGTTCTTTTTAATCAATTTAAAGATTTTAAATATAAATTTAATGCTATGTACAATAAGTCATACTTATCGATAAACCATTGCGTGGTCAGACTTTTGCAATCATTTAAGCCCAAAAATTTGTTGCTCAGGTCTATTGCCTAGGCAAAATTCAGTACTTTTCACGGTGGATCAAAGAATATTTTAAATTTAGCCAAGAAAACTTAAGTCCTTAAAAATGTGTAATTTTGTAGACTTCTCATGTCGGTTGTTCTTATCTGTATTATTTGTGGTTGTAGACTATATGTAAGTTTGAAAACTGTTACTGTAAAATGCTACAATTCTTTAAGTATTGTCGTAGAGGAATTTGTTACGTCTGCTCTAATCATGTATTTTTTGTTTGAATTGCAAATTAAAAAAATTTTGTTTTTTCATTTCAGAAGCTTTAAAAATTAGATTGTGACTTGGATGTTTACTGTTGCTGCAACATATATGACTGCAATCGTTGTATGCTCGGAAAGTTTGAGAAAAAAGTACTCCATAAAATGAATTGTAGAGATCCTGAATCTGAATTCAAGGTTAGCACTGTATTGATTAGTGAAGAATAGCTCTGTTTTGGTACGGAAGAAAGAGCAATGAAAATCAGCAAAATGCAAAAGGGTTTTAGCATTGAAAAAATTAGACATTGGCAGACTTTTTGGTAAAAAGAAAATTAAATCAATACTTGGTTTATTGACTATTTTTACTTATCATTTTCATAAATAATATTAATCAAAACTGACTGCAATTTGAGCCTTATAATAATTTTGTCTGCAATGCACCATATCCAAACCAGATGGTGCTTACTAACTATTTCTGTTCTAATAATTTTATCAGTTCAAACAGCATTTTATCAGTTGTCTCCTTACTATTTCAAATACTTCTCACTGCTTTTTCTGATTCTCTACTAGCTTTCAGCAATTTAAGACTGAAATCATTTCAGAAAGTTGGGCGAAACTACTAAACAAATTAATTTCAAATTCGGCAAAAATAAAAAATCAATGAAAATTCGTTCTTCACATTTATAACATAATATACGTCTTACTTTTATTTCCAACTGCAAGTGCTAATTTATCTAAAAGCTTATATATTTGCTTTGTATTAGCAGTAACTATGAATAAAATAAACTAGTGACCAGCTCTAATTTTACTTCTTAATTAAGACAGTTATTGAATTTCTTCTCAGTCATGTCATTCTACATCAAATTTTCATATTGAAATTTTATAATTTAAGTAATAAACTTCAGATCTGTAGTATGTGCCATGATAGCTCAGTCGGGAGAGCGTTAGACTGAAGATCTAAAGGTCGCCGGTTCGATCCCGGCTCGTGGCATGTGGTTTTTATCTCACCGAGACTTTTATCAATTTAAATACAAAGCTAACTCTTGGAAAATGCACCAACATTAATGTAGAATGTTGTCAATTAATATGTATTCAAAATCTGACATATAAGTATTATTTCATGCAGCTGTTTATTGAAGTACGTTAGGCATTTTCACTTGGCCTTCTATATTAATGCCTCTAATTAAATTAACTTCAGTTTAATTAAGTACTACTCAATATGAAAACATTACACAATTTAAAGTCTATTTCTTATATGCACATTTGCATTAAGTGTACTAGCAGTACTATGCACAATAAATAATATTTATTCAATGAATATTTTCTGACGAGCGTTACTTGTTGTCAAAGTTATGACACGACTTTATTTACGTAACATATACGCTTAATTAGTGATATTTTACAATGTGGTTAGCATAAATATACTTAGTAACACAACGATCAATGCTATTATCAATGTGAATGCCAAAATGAGCGAAACCATCATTTTCTTAGCCTGTAATGATATAGATATATAATTCAGTCTTGTATTTTCGGCAATTTTTCGAATTAATTAAAATAATTTTAATAACTCACAGTGCTATCATGCTCATTCTTTGTAATAGTAACTTGCTCGCCATTATAATGCCCATTGCTTCCATATGCAACTGATGATTGTTGTTGTCTACTTAGGGAATTTATTTTCTAAACAGACAATTTTAAAAAATATCAATTTATTACTTTGTCATAAATAAATTTTGTAAAATGTAAAATGCGAAAATAATAATAATGATAAAAGTTTTAACTTGAATACTTCTGCAAATAAATTTCATAATTTTTTGACTTAAGTTTTACTTTTTAAAATCAAGAGAGGAAAGTAATACTAACTTGTGCCGAAATAATTAAAACTAATATAAAAATCAAATAAACAGCGAAGGCGACTGCAGCAGCCCATCTAGCAATCCAAACTTTGAAATAAATTACAGCTAACAAAATACAAACTTCTGCAAAGTTAAAACAATTCAAAGTTATCAAATTAAGATAGTTATTGTTTTTTAATTAGCTGATGCGAAATAATAAAGCTTTAATTAAAGCTTCAAATCTAATCTAATTAGCAATCGCACCTGAAAATCTGTGTCCAAATTTGGATGTTTTATTTTCATTTATGATTGGCTGATATGATTACTTTAATGATAGGCATTTTATTAAATCATATTAGCATAATATGTGTATATTTCTACAGAAATGTAATTCATATTCATATTTGCAATTTTGATATAATATATTGAAAATCAACAGATATGATTGATATTCAAGCTGCATATGAGGTTAGCCTAAGATTAAATTTCTTAGTGCTGAGATATGCTTTAATTTTATTATTACTTAATCAGAATTTTAATGAAAACTAGAATTTATTTTAATAAAATAAAATTTTAATGTAATATACTTCCGCAGTATTTTATAATGAAATAGTTTTTTTAAGTATTTAATTTTTCACTTGTATTCCACAACATTCTAAAAACAAAACAAAAAACTAAAACGTGAAACTGACGTGACAAAATAAAAGAGAGAAGACCGGAAATTCGATGAGACCAATTAAACACAGGCCGATATTTGGAGCTTTGATCACAGCGTAGAAATGATCCAAGTGGTTGAGCAATCATTAAAATAATAGCAATGGCACCAATCTTGAACAAAACTTTTGAAGACAGCAGAAGTTTATCACAATTGATATAATTATTTAACAGAGAT